CGCAAAAACCAAAACACCGATCTGCCGCTTGAGATTTCTTTATTGTTACACCAACATATAAAAGGAATAAACGAACTAAGGTCTGAAAACAAATATTACAATAATAAATCTCTGTATTACTTCTGACGATGTTTCACTCTTCTTTCTGAACAGCGACCGATGAGACGATGACTGTCGTATTGATGCCTCCGCGAAAATCGAGGAAGTTGATTTTGAGCAAACAACCATGAATTGATCGTTCAATCTTCAACTCCATTGTCATCCCTGTTTAGTTTCTCTTGCGCATTTCTTTACGGCAATCCATTTAAAAGGGGATTTTTAGTCGTGTGGAAATCATCATAACCAAATACATTTTCATCAACGTTGAAACCGCGCAGGGATTCCTGAACATATATTAATGCTATACATCATAAACCAGATCATGTCTGTGAGATGCCACGTTAATTGGATAAAAATATTGATAGTGTAACGGTAAACAATTTTACCAAAATTATTGACCACAGCAATCACCACTGAATATTGGATGCTGACCACCACTATTCAAGTTGACTTGTTTAGCTGAAGTCTTTCGGTCAAGCATCCCCGCCATTCGGTATTCCGTCGTGTCACTTTCGTGCACGATCAGTAGCCAGCTAAGCGTTTGTGTAACTACCCGTTTCGGTCCCGAAATATATCGCGTAATTTGGACGATCAAATACTGTCTTTTGCTTTGCCTTTGGTATGCGAGCGGCAAATACGTTAGAGACTATTGGTGTAAGAGCTTGCGTTAATATACCCAGTACTGTGCGGGAACGTCTATATTGTCAACCTCTAAAATAGATTATGTAAAGTTTACACCGTTAACATAACTATATCCCGCATGTGGAGGTGGTCCTCAAATGTGGATAGGGGCCTAGTGCAGTATTGACAATGATAAAATCTTCAATATTATAATATTTTAAGCATATCGGAAGATTTTTAAATTCGCAGTCACCGATTTTCGCCTCTGGAGGCACTGCAAAGATTCACTGGACATTATAGTGTCCCGGGGGTTAGCGTTTACTGTGTTTGAAAACAGCACCTACTGTTATTACCGGAAACATAATGAGCTAGTGCGACATCCTTGCACATTAGAGTAATGCTAGTTCAATTTCTTGTCATACAAAAGAAGAGGGAAACATTGATACTGTCCTTTATATCCCCTATATACTCATGTCGGTGTGTTTATTTGATATTTGAGGTAAAGTCCCCTTCTGTCATGTTTTTTCAGTACGTATATCACAGTTAAGTATCTATTTGAAATAAACTCAACTACCTCGCCTCAATGGATCATATGTCTGGGAGATTTGAGTTTCAATTCAGTAGTGTCTTCTCAGTCATCTAGTATGTTTTTTGGGGTATCACTATTCACGTGGCACTAAAACTACCAGTTGTATTCTGGGTATCATTTTCTAGAAAAATTCTAGCATCTTAATTCACACTTCTGTGTTTTGCGGCAGTCTTCAAGGAGTGTAGACCACATCAACACTATTTGTACTTCTGACATTGAGGATGTGATTGGTTATAGAGCCTCTCCATGTTTCTTTGATTTTCAGGCAACATAAACCACTAAGTGATCAGATATATATCCACTATCCAATATCGTTTTTACGAGCTAGTATAAACCAATTTGATTTCTTTTTGCTCGCTTCTTGATCGTAAGGTATAGGTTGCTGATCTTCGGTAAACTTCTGCGTAGCTCGTCCCGCCACTCGTTTGTCGTAGCTTTGGTTGACTCCAAAGGGAGTAGTGCTGGGATTAATTATATGTGGTTTGTAGTATGAGGTGTGTTAAGACTGTTACTACTGTGATTGGAGTTGATCCTTTCGCCAGTTAGTTCTTCAGTATCATCGACAAGAGAAAAGAGATAGTAATAATAATAGTAATAATAATAATAATAGATATAATTAGTGAAGTTATTCAGACTAAGAGGCAGAAACGGAAATAGGAAAGCGTAACAACAGTCAGCTCATTAAGTTTGAAGAATAATATATATATCGGTAATAGTAATAATAATAATAAAAGTAATTACAATATTAATAAGTTGTCAGGAGAGTAAGATGGGAGAGAATGTAAAGAAGTAAAACGATGAGTTTAATTGTCTACCCCTGAATGGTGTATGCGATTTTAAGGAGATAGGCCATTTGGATGCAGTCCTTGTGTCGCCGCATGGTTGTCCAGCCTTCGCTTAAAGGTGTCCAAAGACGGTGCCATTGCTACATCTTCCGGTAAGGAATTCCAGGGATGGCAAACCCGCAGTGAAAAGGAGTGGGAGCGCACCCGGGTCCTTGCCCTCTGGTGAGCTATCCTTCTGGGATTCGCACGTGGGAGCCTATATCTACTCAATGGCAGAACACCTTTGTTTGGGTGATTCTGGTCATTTGTTATTTTGTAGGCAGTAATCAAAGCTCCCCCAAGCCGATGGTAACTAAGTGTGAACAAGCCTAATTTCTTCAGCCTTTCATCATATGGTTTGTTTTGGAGACCAACCACTCCTTTTGTTGCCCGTCGTTGGACTCTTTCCAATAGGTTGGCGTCTCTTCTGAGCATTGGGGGTGCAATAATATTATGCACCTCAAGTTGTGGCCTGACGTATGTTTTGTACAACATTAGAAAAAGCTCAGGAGTGAGTGCACCTAACTGTCTATGCGCAAAGTGTATGACCGCATGTGCCCTCGCTGCATCCCCTGTGTAATTTACGTTTGTGTCCATTTTTTCCGTTAGAATTAGACCTAAGTCGCGTTCCGACGTTGTGCAGGACAAGCTTTCATTGCACAGGGTGTAACTTGCATTCTGCAGTCTGCAGGTGCTCAGCTTCACTACTTTGCACTTCTTCAGGTTGAAAGTCATTCCACTGGCCACCATCCAGTCTTCCAGAGGGTGTAGGTCTTCCTGCAGCTTATCTGAGTCCGCCGGACACTTTATCGCCCACCATATTTTTACGTCGTCAGCGTATAGGAGAGTCGGGCAGCGTAGACGGCGTGGTAGGTCATTGATAAAAATCAAAAACATCAGTGGTTCTAGGATAGAACCCTGGGACACTCCTGATGATGATCTGTGCCAAGATGATCGGACTCGGTTAACCTTAGTGCAAAATTGCCTGTCTGCTAGGTAGTCCTTCAGCCATGACAGAAGTGGCTCACCTATGCCTACCTGGCTTATTTTATGTAGGAGAAGGTCATGGTGAACAGTGTCAAATGCCTTCTCAAGGTCTAGGAAGACCACATGGACTGGTACATTCATATCCCTGCATGATGTCCAGTCGTTCCAAGCTGACAGTAGGTTAGTAACTCAGGATCTACCTTTTCGGAAACCATGTTTGGCCTCATGTAGTGTATTAGACCTATCGAAATATTCCCTGATGTGATCGTCAATAATACTTTCCAGTACTTTTGATACCACTGGGAGTAGAGCTACTGGTCTATAGCTAGTGGCGTTTTGCCTGTTCCCACCTTTGAAGATTGGAGAAAGGATGGCTCTTTTCCACCCCCTTGGCAGTTTCCCCGAATCCATTTAGTGTTGGGACAAGTCGCACAGGGATCTACAGAGAGCTTCGGCGCACCGTTTCAGAACAGATGGCCTGACGTCGTCACAACCTGGGGACTTCCCAGGTATGAGTCGCTGTAGCTTCCTTAGTACTATTGCGGGGTTTATTTGGGGAGTAGTCGCTAGGTCTTCCTCCTTTTAAATAGTGGTGCCACCATTATGGTCTGTAACTGTAATATCCATATTGCTGTTTAGCTGTTTGGCGAAGGCTGAACTGAATGTTTCAGTCGTCTCCAGACCAGTGAGCTATTGACCGTTTGGGACTACTAAGGCGCATGCCCCTTGGTTTGTCGGTTTTCTTTCCGACATGAATCAATACAAGTTTTTAGGGTCTGCTACGATTTTTTTAACAAGGTTAGCCCGGAATGACCTCCTGTCCCTCCAGACTCCCACATTACACCGTTTCCTGAGTTCGAGGTATGCATCATGGTCGGTCTGACTCTTAGATACACGCCACGTAAACCAAGCCTGCCGCTTTGCATGCAGAATACGTTGGGTGACGCACTTCAACTATGAGGTCATTCTCTTGAGCTGTAATGTGACTAAAAGGACGGTATCCGAGATTGCTATATGAATAATCTTCAGAAAATACTTCAGAAAACAAATCGAAATCACTGATATTCTCCCGGTTCTCCTTGCCTGCGATGAAATTTATCGTTTAATGCGTCTATTGATGGAACAGGTTTTCTGAACTCCATAATGTCAGTCAGACAGTGGTTAACTGTCAACTCCTGTTGTTTAATTACCAACTGAAACTGTTCAAACCATCTGAAATCAAACCTGAAAGAAGGGTTTATCATAATTTATTGGAATAACAGGCAAATAGTAGAACCTTGTTGTTCGTATGAAAGATCAAACTTCTCTGTCGACAGAAGAATGGGTAGAAGATGATGTATCCCGGATGTACTGAAAAATGAAATTCATATCCATCATATGTATATGCCCGATAACGTGTAGTGGCGGTATACCGCATAGGTAGCGAAAATTTCCCGCATAAGGCTTGAAGTAAAGGGGCTCTCGTTGAATGTATGTAAAATTTTACTCGAAAAGGAGGGGTATTTCTTAAACAGAACATTATACTCAAAGAAAATAGCTTGTTTACACCAATTTTCCATTCTCAGAATGCATGATCTAGAAATTCGAAGTTTTAGAGCTGAAAGTATGAGACAGCTATGTAATTTAAGCAAGAAATTGAAAAGAAAAGAAATACGAAATACTTGATCTTGAAGGGAAAGACTTACTGAACGCAACTGGTAGGTAAACATCAAGAAACCAGTAGAAATAAATCGGTGTGGTTTATACTGACTCAGAAAGTATGTTCAATGTCAGACTATTTTCAGTTTTGTTTGTCTAAATCAATTTTGTTATAGGATTCTTACCAATATTTCGGTTCTGCTTGCAGTTATCGGAATACCAGGTTAAATGGCCCAAAAGAAATGAACTTGGACAAAAACACCAAGGAATACAGTCATGAATGTTCAGAAAGAAACAAAAATAAGGAGGTTGTATTCGCAGCTGATCCTCCTGCGGACAATTCGAAATGTAAACGCTATTCGACCGCAAAATATGATAGGAGAACTCGTCAAAAAATAAGAGAGAAAATTCGTCTCGAAAATTTTGTTTTTGAACAACTTCGCCTTCTTTACAATACGGAAGTAAGTGTACTGTGTTTTTAATTCCCTGGAAGGTAGACGATTATGATTGTGATATTGATATGGATGAACTGTGTGCACTTCAGACAAACGAAGAAAAAGTTTTCAATCTAAAAGTTGGTTGGAATTGTTTCTTGACACGTTTTTGCTATAGGAAAAACTTAGGTCTTGTCCTGCTAAGCAAGATCAAATCGACGTACGTAAGTTTGTATGAATCTGTTCTATGTATCTAGTTTATCTAAAATGACGATTTAATTTTCAATTCATCAATAGATCCTAGATATTTTCGATATTTCCAATCGTCGCATTCTTTTGAATAGTTATTGAATTGATTGTATCAAGGTACTGAAATTCCTGGAAAGTATTTACTCAGTCATCTTTTCCTGAGTTATAGTGCAAGTCGTCGTTATCACTGCAAGTGATTAGTCCCTTGTTATTGTTCATTCCGTCACAGCTCAAAGTGCAGATTAACACTGGTCTACTTTTTAGCCCTAATAAATATGTGAACCTCAATTTTCAAACAATTATTCAGACTTATATTTAACACCTAAAATATTTTCAACTCGGACGAAAATTATTCCGTTATATCCTATAGATATTCTGTAGATTTTTGCTTCAGTTCTATTTTGTTGGTTTAACGTTATTAGGTTAAGCGAATATTAATCTTAACTAGTAGGCTTTTAACATTACTTAAGTTGTTTGAACACTAAATAAAATAGTGCACATATTCTCTCATATTCCTAATTCCCGATAACAAAATAACAAAGCATCATGTCACCATTTTTAAACGTGATATATGATCCATATCACCTTCATTTATAGACATTAAAACTAAACTACTCACTAAATGGGTCTAAATGCTCAGTAGGCGTCTTTTGCCTATGTTTGACATCCAGTTGTACATCTTGAAAGTGTTAGCGTATAGTGGGACTGATGAAACAACTAGGCTAGTTCGATTACTGTCAGATAAGAAAAAACAGCAATGCAAATTTTTAGCTCCTACTTGCAAGAAGTACGTTGTTTATATGGAGCTTTTTGTTCTCACTCACTGACAGTATTCTACCCCAATAAGTTCATCCAACTTCCAGATGGAAGTAAGAGGCATCCAGATAACAGAACGGCTGTCGTTGATAAGATTGAATTCGCCCAAATAATCTTCTGGAAATGATATAAAACATCAGTCAATTTACTTAAGTCAAACACATGTTTAAATACCTAATCAGCATCTTTAAAATAATTATATTTGCCACCATGTCACCAGTCTTAACAGGTAAGATAGCGTTAATGAGAATAGTAGAAGGGTTCTTTTTCAGAAGACTGGAATGTAATTGACAGTCATCGAATTCATCATACGCGTCAGTTTATCGCTTAAATGTCTCCTGCTTCATCGTTCGCCAAGCGTCTGTCTGAATACTGAATCTGAACTCCTAGTGAAATGGCGAGGTGTCGTTCTCAGTGACGCAGAGACATTCGTTCTCGTGGCTTAGAAAATTCGAACCTTTTCACTAATCGTTTAGCACACCGTCCCGAAAACATTTATTGCAAGTATGGTATAGTCCAGCTGTAGCCTTATTGATTGCTTGAGACTGTATCACCACCATTTCTACGCTTTAAAACAAATATCGCAGCCACACTGCAAACTTGAGTGACAGAATTCAGTCTTCACCAAAGACAGGACTATACACACATTACGCTAGGTACTGACTAGTGTCCAGTCGAAAATAAATATTGTATTACTACGGGTTGAACTATTGGTCATGCCAAAAATGGATATATGAATAAATGGGATATGTAGTTGTTGTGGTCTTGGTTGTTGTGTGCGTCGGTGGTTAGGAATCCCGCCGACCATGCACATGGTCCGGGGTTGGAGCCCGCACCGACGCACATCTGATATCTATGGTCGGCCTGCAAAATTTGGGCTACCGATATCCATGCTGAAAATTCCATACTTGTACCGAAAATACAGTGTGGAATCAAGCTGTAAATCAAAAAAAAATACTGGTCTTCAGTGGTTTATAAGACACTTAATTTCTCATGTTCAATTTTCCGAAATAAATCCTTAAACTGACTCCAGAAACGAAAGCCAAAAAGGTTTTCTGCTTCACTTCTGTCTGATAATGAAATTTGCTCTGTATGATAGAGGTATGATAATATTACGAGATCTTTGAGCGAAACAACTAACTCTCTTCTCCATATCATCGATTTCTTTGTATGTCAGAAAGCAGGCAGGACAGTCACCTAAAATTATCCTTTTTCAAAAGAAAGAAGTCTGATTTTAATTGGTTTTAGTCAAGGATAATAATAAGCAGTAGATAGAAGACCCAGGCGGGACCACAATAAGCTGCTGCCAATTTTTACAACAAAAGGAAACCACCTTATGTCTGGACTTATGAATGCTGTCTGTGTGATAAAAACTAACTGAGATCACTAGTGAAAGGATTTTGACACAAAGATGATAAACAGCAGGATAAAACACGAGATATGAAAGGAAGGTTAGATCTACTGACATCCCGCCAAACAGACTAATTTCCAGTCAAACTAATATGTATGGCTTAAATACTGAAACTTTACAGAAAACCTTCACTTTACACGAGAACCTGTATAGTGACTCGACTTTCGTGCTAGAAGTATTCTATCGATATATAAATCTTTAACCATACATTGTTTCTTTCATGTTATGAGATAAAAAATAGATACGATTTACGTTTTTCGAGTTTCTTTTGATTTTATGACGATGTATTTATCCACTTTAGCAAAAATTCTATGTTTAATTAGGAGACTATGAACAAGCTGTTATTAGCGTAATCAGTTACACTGGTAAACCTTTATGTTTGATTTTAGTTGTGCAGAGATATCCTTGTTGTTGAATGGTTTTTAACCCCATGTATATGCAGAAATTCGCACAATCATTTTCAATACACCATGTGGTTAGTTGAATCGTAGCTATTATTAGTAGCTCGTACTATTCTGTTATGCAAACTCATAATAGTTCATTCATTTCAAGAAAAACTTCCCAATTCTGTATCTCGTTATTAAAATTGTGACATTTTAGATTCTATGTTTGCACTACTAAAGCTGTTGAATCTACGGCAGGTAAATTGTGAGAGTCAACTTTTATTTTGATGAAATTGTTTATGTTTAGCAGTGCAAGCCTAAATTTCATATAAAAATATTGTGATTTTGTGCGGTGACACATGGAGTATGTCCTTGATGAAAGGATCATCTAAAACTTAGAGTATGGAAAAAAAGTTTCGTGTTTCTAATATTGCACAGGGTTGTATAAATACGGTACTACTAGCAGGAGAATTTATTAAAATGTGATAACGTCACTGTTTATTGATACATAATTAAAATAATCCTGTCTAACTGTCTGAAGGAGTTTTCGTAGTCGACACTTTCAAACACCAAGTTTACTGATGACTAGGTTTTTTGATTTCCAATCCTTCCTCATATTGATTGATGAGATATCGAACTATATTAGCTGGAAACAATCGAAGGGCAGAAAATGAAGATTACATTCCTCCTTTCTAGTTGTGAATCTTGCCGAAATCTGGATTAAAACTAAGATTTCAGTTGCGAAGACATTTACAAATCGAAATGAATTGTTTTACAATTATTTTCAAGCTCCTGTTGTGCTACAAAAATATTTTTTCCTTTATTCGTTTCAATATACCACTTTCTATGCAGCATCTCTTCTATTTGCGTCGATGGCACAGTGTTTAGGTCTCTCGCCAACCATGGAAATGGTCCGAGGTTCAATCCCCTGCCGACGCACACTCGATATCTATGGTTGGCCTGCAAAATTTGTGCTACCGATATCCATGCTGAAAATTTCATACTTGTACTAAAAATACAGTGTGGAATCAAGCTGTAATCAAAAATAAATTAAAAAAATAAAAATAAAATATAACCTTTGAAAGGATGAATTCATATCCGGGAGATCTGTTTCTGTATTCAAATAAATATTTTGGTAAAATGTAGTGGGTAATAAGAATATAGATAGTAGAATGCATGTATGACCACACAGATCACCTTCTTCAGTTGTCACGATCAATCCAGTGATTATGAAATTTTTAATAGTCTTTTGATTTATAAGTAGTGGGAAATGGCCGATCCAACAGACAAGCGTTCTTAAAATTTCCTTAAAATCCTGCCACTTCTCATTGTAATATTATTTTCAAGCTACTCAGTTGTTGTTTTCTTAAAATTATATAGATATTTCCATCAAATCATTTGAAAATTACCGTTTATTGATTAGCGTCTCTGATAAAGTGTTTTAGTATTACATTTATTATTTTAATATAAGTGTCTTGACAGTCAATTATTATACATTTAGCATGCTGTGTAGCTCATAGGTGTTACAAAATCTTTGAGTGTAATCAAAAATATTTTTTATGCAGAGTCATTTTATTGACCTAAACAATTTATTTATTTGGTATTACTCCACTTTCTGTGACTGCACTTCTAAGTTGAGGTCACATGTCACTTTTGACAGTAGAAATGATGACTGTAATGCCAAAAATTATAAAGCAGATTCCAATAAGAGGTCATTAATTCTGCCTAAAGCCTTGGTGTTAGACAGGACTTGACTTCGCAACAAACTGCCGACATGAGCAGTTAAAGTCTAATGATGAATCACCAGTAGCCACTGGACGTAATAATCATGTTCTAGTTCTTTGGTTAGCAAACGCTTTCCAGGTTGAATCTGGATGCACCCGTAAGAGGCTCTATGCCCTAAAGAGTACAGGAACTTCAAAATATTGCATATGTAACTTGCGATTCACATCCAAGAAATCATCTGTCTGTTTTTAGGATAAACATTCTTACTTGAAATTCAGCAGTCACTAGCTTTAAAATATGAGTGTACTGAGTTGCATTTTCATCCTTGAATTCAAACAAAGTATTATATGAATATAAAGAAAAGAGCAAACACTTCACCCGTTCAGCAGCTGTAATTAAATCTAGTGAATTTCTGAATATTTTGATTAGGGCAGCTGGTTCAAATATTTACTCATCATTCATCTCTTTTTCTGCGCTTTTGTTTAAAACTGTCACTACTTATTAAAGTCTTTAAGTAAACTTGGTGTTTGACACACTTATTTCAACTTTTTCATTAAAAACATATGTATACTAATCACACACGAATAAACATCGTGTATCCTCAGATTTTTCAAAGTTATACGGGGCGAAATTATA